CCCCCCCGGCTCAACAACTCACCAAAACTCCCTGCACTCTTTGTGGGATGGGGCTGCGGGCAGGCAGGTGAGAAGCAGTGATTAGGAGTGGGACAGGTGGGCAAGGCTGGGATCATGGGGCAGGGTCATGGGATGGTGACAGCGCAAGCCCAAGGCCAGGACAGAGCCAAGATCTACTGCTGGCATGGCCCTGTGATGAGCATGGGTTCCATGGGCAGGGGGTTGCAAGGGGTGGATCACATCTCTGCTCTGGGCCCAGTCCAATGCTGTCATCACCCCAAGATCCTGGGGTGTCCCCAGCCCCACCTGTCCATCTCACTCCTGAACACTACTCCCTGCCCACTATCAGCCCCATCCCAGCTGCCCAGCCGAGTGCCCTGTCCATGCCAGTCCTGCCCCTAGCAGTGGGTGTGGGGTGGATGGACTAGGATGCCTGAGCAGTGGGGCCAGGTCTGGCAGCTGTGGCAGCTGGAAGGGGCCACCACCACTGGGGCTGCTGGGAAATGGAGTCTGGCTGCTGCCCCAGCTCTGCTGTGTACCCAGGGGGGCCGGACCACAGCCCAAGCTGCCACCCTGCACCTGAGATGGGCTGGACTGAGAAACCTACCACAGACCAGACAATCTCCCGGTGAGCCAGATCCAGTCTGTGGGCTGTATTTTGCCTACTGCTGTTCTAGCCTTAGCTTGATTGCAGAGTTCTTCTGTGATTCTGTGAATCATTTCAATTAAACTTTCCACAGGTGTTCTGCAGGACCACAGCCCAAGCTGCCACCCTGCACCTGAGATGGGCTGGACTGAGAAACCTACCACAGACCAGACAATCTCCCGGTGAGCCAGATCCAGTCTGTGGGCTGTATTTTGCCTACTGCTGTTCTAGCCTTAGCTTGATTGCAGAGTTCTTCTGTGATTCTGTGAATCATTTCAATTAAACTTTCCACAGGTGTTCACTAACTTTGTCATCTTTTTGTGGATAACCAAGCTGAGATACCTGGCACCTGATTTGTGCAGATGCGGGGGCCTTCCCAGCTGCAGCCAAAGCTACTTGGATCTGTAAATACTCAGCACTTCTGTTCATAAAGCAGCATGGGATGGATGAATGAGCACACCTAAACATCAGATACTGTAATGATGAGCATCATAGTAAAGCAAATGAAAAAATTATCAATAATGTATTCAGAACAGAATTGGGATGTCTGGTAACAAATAAGATGAGACTCCACGTTGAATGAGGAGGAGTTCAAAAAGAAATAATGAGTACCTATTTCATTTTCAAAAGACTCTCTCCATTCTGCAAAGTGCATGAGGCAGGAGTCCTGTGGAAAACACTCAGTATGATTGTTTTATTAAAAATCATATCATTATATCATAGAAGAGAGGAGGGGTTGAGCTAAAGTTGCCTGTGCAACAGCAAGTTTAATATTTTTCTTCAGCTTATGAGTGTTTGACTTTGCATTCATACTCTCTTTCAATGTAGTTTTGTGGTGCATGATCCAATATTTAATTTCTGAGTTCTTTTAGGATGGATTACATTATACAGGGAGAAAGGTGTTGCCTTTTTAAGAGCACTACGAATTGATTTGTATAAGTACCGAGGTGACAATTATCTCATCAATGTCCTTTCAATGAAAGAGGCAAAACTAATCTGACAAAACTCAGGTGCATTTAAGCAGATGAAAGATAAGTTACCCACTAGTTTCTGACTGCAAGTTGTAACTGGCACCAAAGGCACTTAATTATGATAATCTGGGCTTCAAAAATTGACACTTCCTAGGCAAAGGATTTAGACTACCACACACGGTGAAAATTGCCTGTGCTTCTACATCTTGGGTAATGTAAAGGAACAAAAAGTTGTGACAATGCTACAGTTAACTATATGCATAACAATCAAATATTATTATTTGCATTGTAATTAAGAACTGGAATTAACTAGGCTCTTTCTAAACAGAGATTGAAAGGAAGACTTTGTCCTTGCCGCAAATAACATTTGTTATAGTTAAGCATCATCAGCATTGGCAGTCCCTCACAGCTGAGGATGATTGTCATCCCTGATTGATTTATCTGTGGGTCTGAAGATGGATGACAAGGCCAATTAGGGATTAACAGGTTTTACTGCAACTCAGGCACATGTTTCTTTGCATGGTGGGTGGCTCTAGATTCCTGATTTGATTTGCAACCTGCTGTTTCTGCCACTTCCGCTTTTCTGTCTCCTGTTGTTGTCATGAGGTTTCAAAGTACTCAATCCTTACAGCAAACTCTTCCTCCATTTGGGACAGTCTTGGGTGATAGCCTTCCATGAGTTGGTGTTGATGTATTTTTTTCAAGTTGGCTTTGAGGACGTCTTTGAAATGCTTTTTCTGCCCTCGTCTTGAGTGTATACCATGTGACTGAGCTGGGAGAATAAAACTTGCTTTGGGAGTTTGGAGTCAGACATCTGAATGACATGGCTGGCCCACTGAAGTTGATGTTGAATGATCATCGCTTCAATTCTTGTGATGTTTACTTGCAAGAGAACACTAATGCTGGTGTGTTTGTCTTCTAATTGGATTCAAAAGATCTTCTGTAGACAGTGTTGATGGTACTTCTCCAACAATTTGAGGTGTCTCCTGCATGTGTTCACATCTCAGCTCTGTACAGTAATGTAGGGATCACAACTGCTTGATAAACCACAAGCTCAGTTTTGAATCTGATGTCACAGTCTTCGAACATACATTTCCCCAGGTGTCAAAAGGCTGGCCTTGCACATTTTGAGGCAATGTTGGATTTCTTCATCAATGTTGGCCTTCTGCGAGAGATGGCTTCCAAGGTACAGGAAATACTCAACATTCTCCAGAGTTATATAGCTGATTTTAGGTCTGGTTAAATAGATAGAAAAAATATTAACTGAATATATTATTCAATGAATTTCCTTGATGTTTGTTGAATGAGATATTCACCAAAGAGTATTTGGCCATCTACAGAGCTAGCCAAATACCAGAATAAAACTATTTATTGAATAAATTATTCAACAAATACTGGTGGAATTTGTCTAATATTTCAGATTGCAGCTTGGCAGGCCCTACGTATTCAACTTCAATTGCCTTTTAAAACCTCTTTCTCTTCCTGACATAACTCCGCTTTCATCTTTCACCCATAATAGATCTATCCCCGCCTCCCCTGAATTGTTTGTATGGTGTCTGTTTTCTCCTTTTCCTTCTCTGTCCCACAACACTCTTATCTGTTTTCCTTACCCTACATTGTGCTCTCTTTCTCCTTGTCACAGTGCAACTGGTCCAGGTGACCAGACACTCCACAAGATGGGTTTGGGTGGCTCAGGAGGACAGCAACAACCCCCTGGCCAAATGCCTGGTAAGGGCTGGAGCCATTAATTATTTACCCAATAAATAATTGGGTAAATAATTAATTAATGGAAGTGCAGATGTGGAGGTCATAGAGTGGTGAGCAGCATCACCTCCATGATTTATATGTACATGCTCCATGAGGTTGGAGAGGTGCGTAGGGCATGATGTCAGACACCCACACCAAGAACCAGCTACAGGAGGCCAGAACTGTGACGAGAATGCGGAAAGCAGCACAGTTGTTATGAGCTCCAGGATGCTGAGGCTGGTAATGCACCAAGCTAGTTCTATAGGTGGGATACCTGGAGGGGTGTCCTGCTCTTCTGTGATCCAGAGCCACCCCAAAGAGGACCCATCCTGGACCCCAGTACACAGATACAGGAAGAAGGATGTATGTGTGTGGCAGAAACCTTGCCACTTCTCTTTTGTTTTGTGGGTTTGTTTGTTTGTTTTTTTTGTTTTTTTTTGAGAGGGGGGCAGTTATTGCTGTGCTGTATCCTGATGGAGCCCTCGATTTGGGCTGGAACCCCTGCTAGGTCCCAGAACTGACTGACACCCCTAGGACCAGAATTATTTAAGAGCAAGTAGGTTGAGGGAACAGGCTATGTGATTTGGGTTATTGTTGAATAAAGAGAACCATGTAATTTAGTGAGGACTTACTTGTTCTGAGAATTAATTATTGACCTACGTGATTTGGGGATTGAAGTTTGGACTGTCATGATGAATTAATTAATTTTGGACATTCTTGATTAATTCATTGAATCATGAACTATGGTGATTTATAGATTAATTTTGGGACCCTCTTTTGACTTATGAATTAATTATGGATGAAATGGATTGGTAACATCTGAGGGGCAGCCGAATCAACCGCATGTGGGACATCCCATAATCAGGACATTTTTCAAGAAGGAAAAGCACCAAACCCAGCTGGTCATATATGATTCAAATACTGAGCAACATAAAGCTGATGAGCCTTGGTTGGTGAGTGGATGGGGGTAGGGAAGGAGGAGCCTCAAGAAACACCTACAAATAGAGTGTACCCAAGGGTGGTTGGTAACATACTTGGAATCTCCCTTTGTCTTTCATTAAGATGAAGATGTGGCAGGAAAGCAGGAGGAGACCTTCTGAGGAGAAAACGCTTGACATACCAGTGTGTCAGTGCAGACGGGGGTTTGAGCCTGGGTGGTACAGTCCCGAGCCATGCGCCACCTGTTCTTATGGCATAAGCAGGTACACACCTCATTTATACTTTCTTCCCTCACTTTTCCCTTCAAAATTCATATACAAAGTTTAAAGTTTAAGGTAACTCACTGTTTTCTTCTCCGTGCTATCTTATCCTTAGTCTTTTGCATGCATGTCTGGGATATTTTACCATGCATCTAAGACACAAAAGACTAAACCCATTTGCACTAACTCATAGTTGACTATGGCATGTCAATATTAAAAACTCAGGTCACTACCCAGAAATAATATCTGGATAATAAGCCAGTCACTGCAGCTGCCAAGAAACATGGAGGATGTTGACGTCCCTGATGAAGAAATATTTCTGTTGCGAGGCTCTATTTTTTGTGTGTGCTACTATATGTCAGACAAATTTGAAGCCATTCCCTAGACCCCTAAGTTTGCCTGAATAGAAAGAAACCATATTCTCTGTGTTTGTTTCTTTTCTCATGCCACCTCAAAACCTCCTGACTGCTATCAGAATAATTGGGAGTGGTCTCAAATCTTAATCTTGTCTTCCAGCATCAGAGCTAATATAATGTGTATGTCAGACTGCCACTTTACCCTTTGTTTAGCTTGGAAGTGAACAATCTACTGTTTGCCTTAGTATTTCTATAAGAGCTTTTTCAAGCACCAGAAGCAACTTGGTCTGATTCCTACTGTTTCACTGATTTCCACAGAGTTCTGAAAAACAGTAATGAAATTTAATTAGATGCTGGGCAATATCCACTATGCTACAGCTTGGGAAATCCCTAAGCAGCAACACAGGCCTGGGGCTGCTTATCTGCAGTCTTGCAAACACGGTGGTGGTTCAGTTTCTGTTAATTTACATTTATTTGATTTATTTTTTCTCCAACCAGAAAAGCTAAAATTTCTTCTTAACTGCAGGCTTTGATTCTGGAAAATTTAATGGAAATTTCCCCAAAAGATTCCTAATTACCTAATTCCAAGTTGTTTTGGTGATTATAATACTAATATTTTTCCCTTTCTTTAAGTCTATTTGGAACTGATATGTGAATGTTAAGCTTCACACCACCCTCTTGAAATATGGAAGTATTGTTTCATAGGTGGGTAAAGCAAGGTGCATGGAATGCTAAGCAATATGTTTTCTTCGGTTATATGGAGGGTCAGTGGCACAACTGAGCATGAAACCTAGGAAGACTGAGTGCCCATCTACTTTTTCCACTCCTAAATAACAGTAGTTTCCCTGTATACATGTTTGGTACTACATGAGATGCTTCCTTTAAGTCAAGTGATCTTTCTAGGCTTTGGCTGCAATGTTGCATACAATTTCAAATTGCTTCTATTTGTAAAGCCATTTTGGGAAACAGAGCTTCCCCTCCGCTACCTTCCAGACAAAGCATCCCACTACCCAAAAGAACAGCCTTAGAAATTGCTGCCTCAAAATTTCAGGATCATCAAAAACTGTTAGCTCATCTAATGCAAAGCTTTCTGAAGAAATAATAAAAGAAGCCATTTCACTTGCAGGATTTTCTACTTACTGTTGTGCTAAAAGTGCCTGGGCTTGAGGTGTTTTTTTTTTTTTTTTTTTTAATTCCTTGGTTGAATTTGAGCCCTGAATTGTGTGTGGGCACATGAGTGGCCCAGCCCAACACAGCAGTGATTGCCTGGTGCATTGGCCAGAATTTTTTACATTTCATTTTCATTCATTGTTTAGCAATTGCTGCAGTGATTCTACCAAGTCAGCACATCTTCTTAGGTTAACACAAAGCGAATAAAAAAGCAAAAAAAATACAGTCTGTGGTCTCTAGGCACATTACTTGCTGCCCACTGATTGACTTGAGTTTTAAATGTGATCAGAAGAAAAGATTAATATTTTGGTTTGGCTTCTGAAACCTTGGGAGCCTTGGCCACTGAGCTCATTTTTATTGCAGTGTATTAACATAACAGAGCCACTTGTCTTCATTTGACAGAAAACAGAAGCTTATTGTTTTTTTCAAGCACTTACCACATCCAATCTGCTTTGTAACATTGAGAATTTACCACCAAGTAGGTAAGAAAGAAAGAGAAAAAACATATTTTCTCACATATAACACATCCCAGAATAAGATGCACAGTGTGGTTTTGAAAGTAGAATGAAGAAAAGAAGGTTTTTTTAGTAATTGGGTGCATCTACACATGTGCTTTACTGTGGAGTTGACTAATTAGTTCTGCAGTAAATTGTCACTGTCTACACATGTGTCTGTATTAGGGGGCAGTAAATTAATTAACTCTGCTGTAGGATATTACTGTCCAGGACAAGTATTATCCTACAGCAGTCATTAAGTTTACGGAAATGCATGTATAGATGGTGATTGGAGTGGGCTGGGGCATGAGGGTGTTACAGTGCAGGGACTGCCTGCTTGCTAGCCCCTGCACTATAGCACGCGTGTGCCTCAGCCAGCTTCTCCAAAGCATGTTGAGTCAAAGAGGAGCAGCCCCAGGCTGGCAGGCTGACAACCTGGACACCCTGCAAGTCTGGAGCTTCTCACCCCATATCTACTTGCTGTGGTCTCAGGTACATGTGTAAATGCTATTCCCAGGAGAAATAAACTCTGATGTGAACTGCGTTGGAGGTTATTTCTACATGCTAATTGCATGTGTAGATGCACCCACTGAGTAGCAGAAGCTAGGGACCTGAGCCTGCTCGTTGTTCTGCTCCCTGTAGATTGCATGCAGATGTTACTTTCACTGTTGCCTAGCAGACGCTTAAGTGCAAAAACTGTTCTTCCTGTATTTCCTTGTTTATAATGTGCACACCAATTTCCAGGAGATGGTTTTTGGAAAAAAAAGATTTGTGTTGTATGTAAAAAAAAAAAAAAAAAAAAAAAAAAAAAAAATGGTGTATTGCTGGGTTGTGTGACAGTTTCCTACTGCCTGGGCTTGATGATTTCTGAATGCACATGCCCTGTGCTGTATGGATGTAGCAAGGTCACATACTTTGCTAAGTTAACACAAAGTAAGAAAGAAATATTTTTTATAATCATTAAAACTTTCTCAGTATTCAGGTGAGCCAAGCATCCCCTACAGAACTGATATTTTATTGTGGTGAAAAAGAAGTTATGTAACCAAAATTAGTACAAAATACATCTTTTTGTTCTTAGTTTTTAAAAGCTATAGATATACAGGATCATATATTCTTCTATGAATACAATAGAACAGTAAAAATATATGCACTTGTTGCATGAGGAAAACCTGAAAATGGGTTAATTGCACAAAACTGGGTTCCTGTGACATCTATGCATTTCTTACAGCTGTCTGGGCACAATATGTGCCATGAAATTTTGCAAGATTGACTACTGTATTCCATTTTGAATTTTGGCCAATTTGGCACCTCTCCATTCAGTGCATAGGACATTAATGCTGGTAATAGATCTATGACTAAAATAATTGCACTGTATTAAAATACTGACTATGACTATGTAGGATGTAATTGGGCACTAACTTTGTATATCAGAGAACAGACATTACAGTTTCAAAGAAACAATATATTTTATAATGTATCAACATTTTCTTTTAATTCTTCATCTGGCCTTTTATTAGCATATTGTTATGACACAGAAGTCCAAAATTGTGAGAGTTTTGATGTCACATTTGATTTCTGAAAATTATTCTACTACATGTCTGTATTATCTGGCATAGGCATTTGTCAAAGGCACAGATCTATGAAGGAACTTAGACATCATAACTATGACTGATACAGTACCTAACTATTAGGTGCCTGCCCCTGTAGCCAAATCCATAACCATAAAATAGGCATCCAGCCCCATTGCACAATGCAGGGGAAGAAGTAAACACCTAAGAATGGGATTCACAGTAATTACCACCCTGAGTGCGAAACTGGGGCATTGCCAAAGTTAGTCAGTAAGAAATGCTGTGGACTGGGAGTGTCTCTGAGGTCCTGCACTTCTAAGAACCTTAGCTACTTTACTCAATTCTTCCAGGAGGTGCCTGTGCCCTCTTGGGATTCAAGCTTGGAGCACTTTCCTGAAAATGTGTGTCAAAGGCCTTTTTTTAAAAAGCTAAGTGAAGTTCAGTATTTTTCTCTGTGCCTGCCTGGTCTCAAGAATACACTCATGTGCTGCCTTGGTGCATGCACCAGGTGTTGGCTACAGTGTGGGTTCTAGTGACCTCTGAATAAGCCCTCGATCCCCCCAGGGAAAGACCAGAGACTTTCCTGCCATGAGCCCACGATCACCCCAGGGAAAGACCAGAGACTTTCCTGCCATGACATTGATGATGTCTTCAGTGGTGGGCTCCCCTTCAGTGGGCTCCCTCAGATTGGCTGCAACCCTCAGCAGGTAGTCATGGGGCTCTGCCAACCCCTACACCACATCCATGCACCAGCCTCTAGGATGGCCCCTTGATGTTCACAAGGCTCACCCTCTGATGTCATCTCTTCCCATCTCTCTCATGGGAAGAGAGACGATGGTTCATCCCAACCTCTGCATTCCCGGAGAATCTTGACTTGCTCCCAGCCTCCCAATGGACCTTTTGGCTAAGCCTGGCTGTTGGCCACGGTCCTTTGGCCACTCCTACCTTTGGAGTGCTGCCTCTGCCTCTGCCCTTACCTCAGGGCCTCTCGGGGCTGATCCCCATCAGAAAGGGGCGGAAAAAAGAAACAACAAACAAAAAAGAAAAAGATTTCAACAGCAGTCTGGGGTACGGTCCTGGCCCGTTCCCTTCCCACTCACGGACACATTGCTTTATAGTCTTTGTCATCCCTTGACGTCATCCGAGGTCCTCTCCCTTGCTGGGGACCCCTCCTGGTGCTCTGGCTCCATATCCCATGCTGCACGCCAGCGTTGTCTACGCCTAATGTGGGAAGCACCCTTGCCATGCACCTCCTGCAGTGCCTCCCTGGTGTCTCGGTGCTGGCTTTTATCCCAGCCAGGCAGCATCCAGGGATGATGTCACCCACCTGTGCTGGCCAGAGCCAGAAATAGGTGCGGCTCACAAATCACATGGCTGTTTGGTGCTGGTGCAGTGTGTCCACCTTCTCTTCTCCT